AAATCTTGGTTGCGGTTCAATTTTTCTTTTTAATTCAAAGTTTGATGTTTTCTTTTGTTAATTTGTATTTTATTAAACTATACTCTTTTAGTTATTAACTTACATTTCCATAACTGAAAAATTCAGTKTATGAAATATTATTATAAAAATACATACATGTCCACAATAACATCAAAAATAAAACCCAATATTTTCAAATTTGGCAATTAAACATGGTTCTGAATTAGTTGTAATTATATTTAATAATGATTATTGAATAAAATAATATAGAATATTATAAAAAATAATCAAAATTCAAAAATTTAAAACACAATTACAATACTGTTATATATATTATCATGAATCGTGATTTTTATCAACGATAACTGATAAGATGATAGGGATTAGACTAGACGTGATTCACTCTAGCGGACATTTTTGACACCATGGATCACAAAAAATTTTTTCCTGYGATGATCCAATCGTTATCTCTAGTCTTCATGCCTTGATCATATTACGGCAGTCGGCAAGGTTGTAAAGTTATATCATGTATTCAAGTATGATGTGATAGTGATACTACCGTAACCTACTACCACAAAGTCCTGAGTCCATAAGGCACATAATTGTTCCATACATCGTAGTAATAATAAAATAAATAATAAATATGAATCTGTAATTGTTATCGTATTTGTAGTTAGTACGCTGCGCTGTTGTGTTTTGTGTACTTGTGTACACTCAGTACTCAGTAGTCACTATTTTTTTTAGTCAGTACAGTATCAGTAGTACTAGTGACTCAGTGATTGCATGACGTTGTAACGTCTTAACCGATCAGTTGATCAGTATATTTTAATAACAGCAAAAAATGTACCAGTACTTGAATTTTAATAGTTGTTCATTATAATTTCGTGTGAGTAACACTGCTGTGTAGAGCAACGGAACAGAAAATAAGGAAATACCTACATCTTTAGAAATGTTTGCTTACTCAGTCGCTGTGGAGACAGAATGGTTCCTCAACTTTTGTTTTGGAAATTCGATCAATGTTAATTTGTCAATACTGTGAGAATGAAAWTTTTTTATTAATCTTGAAATTTGAGGTGTACTTATTTGATTTCACACACTCATCATAGAATTCGGCGTTCAATCTTATCCGTTAATTTCTTTCAATTGGTAGGTACACTGCCAAAGTATAAGTCCAGTGATTAATATGCGTTTTTATTTTATTAAAAATATTTTTTCTACAAATTTTATTTTGTCAAGTTTAATAAATTATGAAACCTTAATACTGTAGGCATATTTCATTATAATATATAGTATCTGCCCATCAAAATATCAATATGGAAATTACAGATACTGAAGCTTTAAGAGACTTATTATTGTGAGTATTGAAATAATAGTTATTATTATTAGTGTATTAATATAGATTATAAGAAATGTACATAATCAATTTTTATTTTTAATATTATAACAAACTGTTTTAGTCTTTATTTTTACCAGGAATAACAAAAATATTATATTAGGTATTTTGTTTATACCTAATATTAAAAGTATATCTTAATAACTAATAACTATCACCAAATTTCATATTTATATATTTTCATTTCATTATTTATGAACGTTTTAAGTATATCTATTACTTTGTATCTCATTAATTATATCCATAGGCGTGCGCAGGGGGGATGCTGGGTATGCCATGGCATCCCCTGCGATCTGCAGAGTCAGCTTGTTTTTTTTTTTTTTACATTTTTATAAACAGAAATCAGTTTAGAAATTTTTGACAGTTCAGGCTACGTATTTTATTTATTTTTTTTAAATTTTTATCAAGTACATTTCCATTGATAATAGAAGTTGGGATAATCCTGAATCCGACGATATCACCGCGACCCGGTGATTGGCATCCCCTGCAAAAAAARTCTGCGCACGTTTAATTATATCTAAAAATTAGAATTTACCTACCTATTACAATATATATTATGTACCTACATAATTATGGTAAAAAGTGTAGGTATACACTATACACTTAATAAACTTGGGTATTTTTTGTTTATGATAAAAAGAAAATGTCTATTACAATAAGTTGGTGATGATTAACGATCAGCAGATCATTATATTTTATTTGAAAGATTATAAATGGTCGGTACATGAGAATACCATAATAATTATTAAATTTTACTTTTGACTAATTTGTTAATTTTATTATTTCTATTTGATCATTTGACCAAGTTAAATTAATACCTTATTACATAATATGTAAAGTTGATTTTTGAAAAATAACAATATCAAAACTAAAATGTGCTGCATTTATAACTTGTTATATAACTAATTATGACAGCTTAAAATACAATTTGATAGATTATAATAAAGAGACTAACTACAAATTAAATATCTCACAAGGAAGGTTTAACCCCAAAACCTCCTAATTACTTAAATTTCTTATTATGTTAGAGGATACCTATTTAACTTCAATTAAGCACGATTGGTCTTTTGTACTTGTTAAGTATTTAAAATCCTTATAACATTAGAGGACTTGTGATCTCAGACAATATGAAAACATTGAAAACTATATTTTCATAATATAATCTATGGTCGTACTCTTGAAACAAAATTATTGGTGCCTAAACCAATGAAGTATGTCATTACTCATTATACTAAATATATTATTTTTTATTTATTAAAGCAAAATACAGTGGCTACTGTTTATAGCAGGGGTGGCCACTAACCTTTATTTTGGGAGCCTCAAATTTATGAAGCTATTTTGAAGTGAGCCACTTTGTTAAGATAGATATGTATGTTTATATAAAACAAAATATATTTTTGATTTTATAATAAATAAAGCAACATTCATTTTTTACACTACACAGAGCATAATTGTTCGTGTATTAAGATAGTAGGTATTAAGAAATGGGATTTTACTTTTGAGGAGTGTTTTTTATATGTATTTTAATATGAATTAATTTTACTCTAAGCTTAGTTTCAACTTTCAAGAGTCATACGAGACTCACTCGGAAGCCGCATGCAGCTCGCGAGCCTYATTGTGGCCACCCCTGGTTTATAGTGACCACACTTGCCTGATAGTATTATAATCACTATGAGAGGTGTCTTGAAATACAGATAAATAGGTTCCATTCCTGGTATTTCTAATCAGTATCAAGAGCTGATTCTTAAAACTAATGAACTCTATGTGGCGACCACTGTTGAAAGTACACAAGGGGACACCACAATTAAATATTTTAATTAAGTCTTCAATAAATATTACAGCTAATTAATGAGTAGTTTAAAAAGTTGAAAGCAAAATATGTTGTTTTATTACATTTTATAGAAGTTTTTTAGATCTGTGATAAAGTACCTAAAAGGTTTTATTTTTGTTAAAGTTTAGTATTAAAAGTATTATATTTTTTTCTTTTGGTGCTATACTGCAAATGTTCGGAAAAATATTCTTATTCATAGGTATAGACAGTATAGTATTAAAGTGTGAGTTCTAACGTCACAGTTCAGGAATGCGAAAAGTATTGATCCTAATTCCTGACATTCTTCATTTTTAATATAGAATCGTGTTGTATAGGGTTAAGTCTCATTAAGTGTAAAATAATTTATGAGTGTAATTTATTAAACTCATAATATTTTTTGTAAATTGAATGAAATAGTAATATCAATGTAAGGTTAGGTTACTTTGTATTTAATTAATTTATAAAGAACAATGCCATCAAAATTTTTAAATTGTCTAAATATTATTTAACCATGTATTAAATCAGGGTATCAATTTCACCCAGACGCCTTAACATGAGCTGAATTCCAAAGAAATAAAAAGTTATATTTACTAAATGTTTTGGTTTTTATACTTTGTTTAACTTTAAGAGCTGGTAGGTATTAGGAAGTTGTTATGAATAGGTGCAATGTATTATTTACACATTTCTAAATGTCAATAAATTATGCCTTGTATGTAATTTTTTTATTGGTGTGGCTGTCCCAAACTTCCCTACAACTTAGAATTGAGCATTTTAGTAATTTCATATGCTGAAAAATCAGTCTCTCCCCTTTAATCATCTTGATCTGTTGCTGTTTCTCATTAAGTTTTTTTAACTAAATGGATCTAAACTATTAGCTTTGACAGACAACAGTTAAATACTAAAATATATTATCTTAAATTAGGTACATATTATGAATATAGTTTTTATTAAACTGTCGTTGGTATTGTTATGCAATGTCTCGCATTGGTATCAAGTGAGCACTGGCACTCACCTCATTGTTTTTTAATCATTATTCATGAAATAATAAACATAGAAAATTGAAACAACACCAAATTCTTTATGTTTTAATTTTTTTACTGAAAGTATTCTTACAATTTTTCTAAATTATCAATATTTTAGCTTAAAAAAAATTAAAAACTACAATATGTTAAGACTTTTCTCATAAACATAGGTCTTTCGACAAATATTTTTTTTAATTTTTTAAAATTATATTTTATCATTTTTTATACATAATAATATAATAATGTAATCATTATTATTCATTGTTCATTTTTCAATAAATATTATGTCGATACTAATGAGGGAGTATAACTCTCACATTATGGATATTGCCACTGAATAAATTATAATGCTAACATTGCATGCTGATATCTTATCAAGAAACATTTATAAAATTATTATATTTACAAAATTCTATTTGGACACACATTGATTGAAGGTATAAATAGTAATAGATAAATCAAGTAAACAATAAAAAAGTAGTTCTCAAATACTAACGAGGTGAGCGCCGCGCCGCGCTCATTACGATACCAGTGACGGGTTAATACTATTTATTAGCTAAATTAAAGTCATTATATTGTATAAATTATAATTTATCATAGACTATTCTAYAAACAAATTTTAGTCCTATAAATAAGCAATGTGTATTATACATTGTGTACCCCAATCAGGCTATATAATGGCCCTTAATTTTTTTTTTTTATTTATTTCATTTATTTTATTTTATCATTTTAGTTTACTCAATAGTACACACACAAACGCCAAACAATTTTATAATATGATGGTTTCAAATAAGACTGCAGTTAATACAAGTGATTCTGACAAGGACTTAATGAATAATATGTATAATGCATTATTTCAGTGTTTTGGAATCATTATCACAGGGTAATTTGTACATACGTTAATCATTACTTTTATTATTATTGGTTTATACTAATAACTATAAAAAAAAATTAGTAAAATATATTTTAATTGGCCGTTTTGTTTTATTTCAGGTAYTTGTCAGGACGTTTGGGCCTGGTCAGCCATGCTGCTAGTATTGGCTTAAATAGATTTGTAGGGACATTTGCTTTACCATCACTTATATTTGTTAATATGGCCGTATTAGAATTATCATCTGTAAATTTGGTTTTTCTGGGATCACTACTCCTGTCTAAGACTCTAGTATTTGTATCGGTTGCTTTAATTACTGTATTAGTAACAAGACCTCCAGACATTGCTAGAGCTGCTCTATTTGCTATATTCTGTACGCAAAGTAATGATTTTGCTATTGGAGCACCAATATGTAAGTTATAAAAATGTATTATAGAATTTTTTTTTAAGTATAGTTTTATTTCTATTTTTCTAGTTGAAGCACTCTACAGGCATCAGCATAGTGAATTTGTTCAATATCTTTATCTTGTGGCTCCTATCAATTTAATCATCCTAAATCCATTTGGTTTTGCAATGATGGAATTAGGCCAAGAATATAATCGTCACGAAACTACAAGACGTTCTGCTTTAATGGGACGAATATCAAGGAACATAATTTGTAATCCTGTAGTGTTTATGACAGCTTTAGGAATGATAGCTAATTTAGTATTTAACCATGATCCACCTAAAATCATTACAACATTCTTAGGAGTAAGTAAAATGTCTTTTTTTGTTAGTCTTAGCTAAATTTTATAGTATGCAATTTACTTTTAGACTTTTGGTAATGCGTTTACTGCTACTGCATTGTTTTTACTTGGTTTACGAATGGTTGGAAACATCAATAAACTCAGAGGAGAAGCTTTAATTTTACCATTACTCCTAATTGCTGCTAAATTGTAAGATGTTAAAATATATTTATTTAATTTATAAGTTTTCATTAATGTACAACAATTTCTTAAATTATACTTATTGAAATATATTAATTTGATGATTTTACAGGTTAGTTTTGCCATTAGTTATTAGAGAACTTACAAGTATATTCTTGGGAAAATTTGGAACTGTAAATGCTGATGATAGTCTTGCCTTTTCAATGTTTGGATTTTTATATGGAATGATTCCTTCTGCACCTGCAGTTTTTGTTTATGCATCAGCATATAATCTTGAAATGGATTTAGTATGTATCATATTTTGTATCGGTTATATCGATAATTTATTAATAATTCTGTGATCTAGATTGCTAGTTCAATGGTGTTGTGTGTATTCTTCTCAGCTCCAATTATGTTTTTAACTGCCAAGATAATATCTGTGGCTAAATTGGATCCATCAAATAATATAACAGCTTTAAAAGGGTATCAATTCAACGTTAGTATACTTGCCATCCCTGCCTCTGTAAGTAATTTAACTATTTTGTATTCTATATAAATATTTTTAATGTTTTGGCCTATTATTTTCAGCTTTGGATTATCTTAGTTATGTTAAAAAATCTAAAAAGTTTACCATTCAAAGTAGTTTTCTGTTTAGTAATTTCACAGGTAATTTTGTATCTATTGATATTCTAATTTTGTTGTTTCTAAAGAAAGCTGATATTCAAGTATAATATTATTGTTTTAGGTGATTTCATGTACTGGAGTATTACTAGAGTACTTATCAGAAACCCCACAATCACATCCATTAACATACATACAACTTATGTTGAGTATTGCTGGTGATATGAGTTGCTACATTTGGACTGCATGTTTAGCTTTTACTTTGTTAATCATGCACAAACCATTTACTGATGAATTCCAAAATAAAATTATTTACTTTTACATGATAATATCTTGGGGGTAATTAAGATTATTTATTTATTGACATTGATATTTTTTTTATAAATACATTTCCACTTTAGTGTACCAATATTGTTGGTTTCTGTCTTGATGTTGACTTGCCAGCCACCATTGTTTATTAAATCAGATTTTGATCAAAATTATGTATATGGAACTCCTGAAGCTGCAACACTCACAACAATTCTCCTTTCATCAATAATTTGTATGTGATTTTTAGAATATTAAGTATTTTCAATATTCATATCTTATATATTTTTTAGGTACTGTTGTGTGTTTAGTTTTGCATCAACGCCTAAGACATAAAATAATTAGACCAATAGTTTACTCGGAAACTATAAATGATGTTCAAAGTTCATCCAAACAATCGTAAGTTTTTATTTAAATATTTAATACACCCACTTGCTCAAAATAATATTAAATGTTTTTTTCTGACCATTTWATATACAATTTTCAAAAACTACTTTAGACCTTAAAAGTACTATAAATAATTCATATTATTACGCATACCAAGGCTACCTATCTACTTTGCATTTGGTTGTATAACTACTATATCTTGATATTAAATGTTATGTGTGCTAATTCTGTCAATAGTTGAAACTGATCGCTCAAAATGTATATTCTTACCTCTTTTGACTTAATGGACTCTCTTGGACTTAATGTTAGCCTTAATGACTATCTTTAGTCAATGGTTAGCTCATTGCCTATTATTATAGGGGACGCTACCCAAGTATTAATTATCTCAGTCTTATAAAATACAACATACCAAATTTATGTGTACTAGTTTCAATATAAACATTATAAACATTCAGTGAATATCTCATGTATCTTTGGTAATTTTTGTTAATAATATCAAAAGCCAAATCAATTTCGTTAAAAATTGATTTTGTGTAGAAGTTCTTCATTTTTCATTTTTTTCCTGGCAATTTGGAAACTGCTGTAATTTTATATTTTTACCCCCTAAATATGCTTCGACTAGATTCACTTTCCCATTGCAAAGATACTGAAGTTGATATTTAAAGTATTATTTCAACTATTTATTATGTACACAATTAAACAGWCTGCTGCCAACCACTACTACAAGTTTATAAAAAAAAATTAAAAGTTCTGTAGCTGATTTCTGTTGTATACAGCGTTAGATTTTTAATCTACGAGTGAAATTTGTATTAAAACCATGCAAATTCTCACAGGTGGAGTATAGTGGTATGCAGTAATAATTTCAAACAATAAAATTAAATAAGTTACAATACATTTTGAGTAATTATTTTTTATCAGTGTGGTAAATGACAATGCATGCATGATTATTTTATATATATTTAATACTGTGTGTTCACTAATTTAGGGAAYTCTGAATTTCTCATTCGGATTTTGTTGGAATAAATCAAATTTTTTTTACAAGCTAGTATATAAATACACATTTTCAGATAAATTTCAAATTTTTAACCCTTTTCATATGCGCATGCGCAATGCAACTTTTTTTTTCTAATAGCAACCGGTATTTTTGATACCAAATTGGGATAGACTGAATTTTTGTAAATCATTTTTACCCATTAAACATGGCTCTAAAACGAAAATTGACTGAATGAGTCTTTCAAATTTTGATAAATAATACATTTTTAAAATTCATTATGAAATGCATAAAACCATTTATAATTAATTATTATTTGTTACTTTTTGAATATTTTTACCTATTTTTTTTTATACGTGTTATAAATAAAATCAACATAATATGGATATAAAATTACTTAATTAAAATGTATTACAACTGTATACATGAAAATATTCAAAAAGTAACCAATAATAAATAATTATAAATGGTTTTATGCATTGTAATGGGTCAAAATGACTTAATAAAATTCAGTCTATTCTAATTTTGTATCAAAAATACCGGTTGCTATATAAAAAAAAAAGTAAGTTGCATTGCGCATGCACGTACCGAGAGGGTTGAAAATGTGTATTTATATACCATTAGCTTGTAAAAATAAATTTGATTTATTCCAACATAATCCAGCCACAAAATTCAGTGTTCCCTAAATTGGTGAACACACGGTATACTTTTCACAATTTTCGGTTTTATTGAAATATTAAACATGTTTACAGTATGGACACTCATAGTATTGATACTGAYGATTTAAAAGAAGGTCTTCTTTATGATGCTGAAACAAATATAATGGATAATAATGAATATATTAAGCATTTTCTATTACTTGTTATGCAAGCAGTTGCAATGTTTGTTGTGAGTACATTTTCATGTTTCATATTCATATCTTATATTATAAGTTTTACTAATAAAAATGCAATGCCAATAGACATTTTCTGTGGCCATTTGGAGAATATTTGGTGAAACAAATGGATTATACCTTGAATTGGCTTACTCTGAAACTTCTTTAATGAGAGGACAATCGATTTTCACATTGTTGATTTATGGAATTAATTATCAATCTATTAATATGCCGATTGTGCGAACGTTAGTTTTTCTATTATTGAATATTTTTAAAATGCTAAAAAATATAATATGTTGTTTATATTTAGATGGAATAAATTTTGGTGGGGAGGATCACCAATTGAGTGTCCCTCGTGGGAAGAACTTCCATATGATACGAGAAAAACGTGTGATAACTTTGTGTTTAAACACAGGGAAAAGTGTTTGGCAGAAATTACTCATCTTACTAGGTAATTACCATTGATTTTTTTTTTTTAATTCAATTAGTTGTAGGTACTTATACAATGTCATCTATTATGTTATTTTTTTGTTCTAGATGGAAACTATGGAAGTATAAGAAGACGTTTACTGGTTCTGAGCTTGTAACATGGTTAGTGGARAACAATATTTGTTCAAGCCGAGATGATGCATTAGGATATTCTATTAAGTTGTGGAATGGACAAGTACTGAGACACTTAAATTGTACAGAACATTTTCAAGATGCATCAAATATACTATACACATTTAATCGCCGTTAATCTTTACAACTATTGTATTATTTTTGGCGGTTTATAAGTAATCTCCATTTATTATTATTGTGATAATTGACTGTTAAGAGTGAGAATATTTTAATAATAATTTTAACTTTTATATGCTTGTATTTGCCAATATGCTTTAAAGTTATTGAATGGTTGTATTATATATATACTTAGTTAGTTAAAAAAAAATTTATCAGTCCTAGAAAATGAAATAGCTTGATAATGTGATTATGTTTTTATAATTATTTTAACTGTTATTCTTTATTATTTATTTAAAATTGTTGACAAGCTTAATATATTATTTTATAAATAATACATACATTTATCATATTTTAAAATAAACGACTGTATTTAAAATATTAAATTTATAGTTTGCTTTGAGTATAATTTGTTTTTTGTTAAAAATTTGTAGTGTTCATTAAGTATTAACTTAACTATATAATGTTAATATTACTGTTTATTTGGATACACATACATTACAGCATTACATGTTTAATTTACATCATTGGTATACCATAAAAATTTAACTTATTTATAAGTCTGAAAGGTTCTTGAGTTTTATGTACTTCTATGTATATAATTCAAACCATAAATTATAAGTAAATATTAAATAATATTAATATAGTATTATATTATATTATATTATAACCTGCAAAGTAAAAACATTTTAGATTGGCTAAGTTCAAATCCCAATCACCTATACTTTTTAGAAACTATATGGAATTCTCAAATACATAAAAGTAAATTTAACTATTTAAAATTCTAAGCCACCATTCAAACCAGCGACCTCATTTAAAATATAAATATTRATTGAGTTGGATACTTAGATATATTATGTTAGATAATGATTGAAGTGATTGCTGTTTTGAATTTACAATGATATATTATATATTTTTTTTAATTTCAATTTTTATTGTCTATAAAAAATAGTTGCAAAAATGCTCTGATTTTTAACTTGGTTTCTGGTAGCTGTAACAMATTGGATCTAGTTGTTATTTTACAGAAGTAAAAATAGAAAATTCCCAGTAGTTTCAAAATATTTTAATCAAAAAGTTTGAAAATATAATTTAAGGTTTCTCATTAATCAATTTAAGAACATATACTCGTAAAATACATAGACACAATATCTATTTTAATAACGTTAGTTAATAAATTTTTCAAAATAACAAGTATTTGCAAGCTATTTTGAGTTGGAAAATGCATAYATTTTCTTTATAAGTCTAAATATCTAAAATAATAAAATTAAATACAGGTTTCCTCATTATTTTACCTTTGACGAAAAAAAAAATGTTCACTAAAATTTATAATATTAAATTTTAATGTTTGTTTGAAGTTTAAATTTGTACTGTAATGGATTCACTTATGAAATAATGATTTTCTTATTTTATTGTAATTCAAAAAAGATTAACTATGGTTACTTGAAATTATCACCGAATGTTTATTTTTATCGTTCTCAATACTTCATGATAAAACATATGTATTATATTTTTATTTTTAAGTCATTATTGAGCTACTTATAGGTTATTTCAATTTTTTTTTTACAAATTTTGTTATAAAATTTTTTATTGGCTCACAAAGCTTGAAAAATTATTATATTGCCTTTATCTTTTTCTATAAGCATTTAAAGTTTGAACTTTGTATGACTTTTAGATAAAAACAATTAGAAATGGATAAAATAATTTTTGTAAATTTTAAATTTTAAATAATTTTTAAATTTTTGTGCTTTTGACAAGTTTAGTCAAAATCTTAACTTTAGACGCTCAAAAAAAATACTGTAGGTAGCTCATTTTTTGACAGAGCGTACATATTTATATTGACATTGACTAATAATAAATTGCTTATACATTTCAAAATTTCCATGTGCCTATCATACAACTCAAAAATAGTCAAAATGATGGCAAAATTGAATATTCAAATGAAAAATAACAACTTTATTTACTTAATAGTAATTTAAAAATATTAWTTACCTATAGTATGGTTTATTGTCTAGGCATTTTCTGCCATATGCCAAAAACTTACCTGCATAATTATTTTTTATACAGTATACACAATGATGGAATTAATAAATATTTAATAGGTAAGAATTAGAATCAGGGGAAGGTTAAGAATGGTAAACCATCTATGAAAACCGTTTTTGTATTAACTCGAAACTACATTTTTCATATTACGCTATATATTCCATTGTCCTGTATACTTGGTATTGACTTATAATGTATTAAATTTACCAAATTTCCAAATAACAATAATGATGAATAGTATAACGTGAAGAAATAATATATTAGTATACAATTACAGAACATACATCTAAGTTTTTGGAAAAAAATAAAAAACCTTTGGATCTTCCTACCGCAATAGTTGGAAATTTGTAATATGAATAAATTAAAAAATATTTATAGATATAAATACTCCATGTTTCAGCTCACAATCGTTTTTCGTGTGCATGATTTATCATTTAAAATTTGTTATGTCCAAGAACTAAGAAGGTAATAGGCGGAAATGGGGGGCTAAGCCCCCAAATATTGTAATACCCCCCCCAGAAATTTCTATGGATTTCCGCCTATGAAGAAGGTATATCTTAGTCCGTGGTTAAGTCTATAATCCACCACACTATCATACAGTGATCCTTCCCAAATCCCAATGACAAAGTTTAAGTATACCTGAAATATATGCAGGCATGAAGCAGAGACTGATGAGTGACTTCCTCGACATTTTTCTTTGATGGCATTACACATTTTTTTTCCATAAAAAAACAGCACTGAACACTTTAATTTCCCTATTTCTAATTTTATTTACAATAATTATTAATAATAACCATTTTTAATTTCATGTTATTTGTCATAAACTCATAACTTATAAGATATAACTCATTGCGATAATATTATGTAGGTACCATAGGCGCGAATAGCAGGGGGATAATGGGTCTCATCCCCCTCCTTTAAAGTCATCATTAGTTCCCCCAAATGTAATAGTGTCCCACAAACTATTAAAAACTAAATGTATGAAGTACTATGAACTAGCAGTCAAGATTTAAGCCCCCCCCCACTAAATTGAACCAATTTCCGCCTATGATACCTATGTCTACATCTTAGATTAATTATAGGACTTTAAATAATATACAGCCCCAGGGCCGGACCAAGGTATTTTGACGCCCCGGGCAATTTTTTGAAAGGCGCCCTTAATCAAATGCTCCATAATACATTTAATACTTTTTATACTTACCTACATATTTTGTTTAAAATTCTTATATTTATGAATAGGTAAAAGACGGCAAAACTTATTTGTATACAATTTATAGACGTATCGGCTGTAACACATAAATTTTTGGTTTTCCCGAGATAATGATTATATTATATCATTGTRWATTATTTTTTAATAATTTGTAATATAATGATAAAAACTGGAAAGTGGAATAAAATCTATAAAAAAAAATATATAAAACAGAATATTCCGTCATAGATAATTTAGTCATTTAGCTATATTATTGTCAATTTGAATAAATATTACGCTTAAATTTATAAAATATTCGTATATTAAAAGCGCCCCTAAAAAAGTAGCACCCCGGGCAACCGCCCGGTTCGCCCGTATCTTGGGCCGGCACTGTACAGCCCGCAGCAGTTCTCAAAATGTGCGCCGTGGTGTCTACAGGGGCTCCGTGATGTTGTAGAATTTTATATGGTCTAAAATTATATTAGAAAACCAGACGGAAACTATTAAATTATGTAAATATAAATGTTTAAATTAGGTATGCTTTCAATTAAATCTATACATATTTTCATATTACCCATTAGTCACAAGTCACAGTTTTTTCTGGTTTTTATTTATTTTTTCTACTTCTATCATTAATCATCCTACGACTTGGGAAGGGTAATCTTAGGACTTAAAAATTCTTAAATTAAGCCAGTTCGAGCCAAYAACGTTTGGGAACCACTGATAAATCCAATGAGCTATAATATTGTACTCTGTTCAAATTAAGAAACGTACCTAGTCCGCGGCGCTGACTTGTGCGCAAGGGCGTGGCAATGCTACACGGTAGGTACCTATCTATAATACTAATACAGATAGGTAGATAATTGACAAAGTTGTGCTAACAAACTGGTGTTGCCGACAAAAACTGATTTCCCCAACTACATTTCTCAACTTGAACAGAGTATAAAACTAAATGAGCGGAAACAACTTACTGATACTACTGSTAAAATTATTAATTATCAAATAGTGATATGCCTTATATAGTTATATAGGTAAATATTAAGGCAAATAATATGGCATTTTTATTAACTACACATTTAATTGTACTCTTTTAGCTCTTGCGTCTTGCCTTGTGTATAATATATTTTATTAATATTCTACCATATTACCATAGGCCTTTGGTCCATGGATAATATATARAATAGATAAAGCTGCAAACGTGTACAATGTTACTATCTATAGATTCTATAGGTTCTACTCAGTACTGTGGCGAACTCAAATATTATCAGAGGCAAGTAAATTTTTCGATACCCACCCACTTATCAAAGCACCTACGCGTCATCCATCAAAAACTATTCTTGAATATTGGGTTTTTATCTCTCTCTTAAAAGTTATCCCATAAAACAATAATTATGGTGGGAGAGGGTTCTGCCTCTCCCAGAAAATTTTAAAACTATACAGTTAATTATATAAGATTAATTGAAATAAGACAAATAGACAATATTTTTTTTAAAGATTACTTGGATTTAAGTGTTTTAATAGGGTTAAGTAACAACATTCTTATGAAACTAAATTAATTTTTACCCATCCGCCTATCGCCACTAAAAATTGAGGGAAAACCGGYATTCGAATACACCCTTTACCACGCCATTGGTTCTATTAGGACACATGTTATGTTAAATTTGTATATTCAATATTGTCACTATTGGTACATACATGTATTACATTATAATATAATGTGTTGATTTTTGAACATCTTAAAATCTTAAACATTTTAATTGTACCTACATAGGCGTGTCCACGGGGGGTGCAGGGTAGGCACCTGCACCCTCTGCAATTGCAAGTGGCACCATGAATTATCAACAAAAATTATTCAAAAAAGGGGGCTAGGGCCCATTAGCCCTTTGGGTATGCACCAGGTTGTACCCTCTGCGTCAAAGGTCTAGACACGCCTATGTGTACCTACTTATAAAACTTGATATTTGTAAACSATCGAGTGTCTTTTAGGTGAGGGTTAAATTTGTAATAATACTTTTTTCAGATTATATACGGTTTTTCAAAGAATAAAACCCGATAGGAAATA